TCTGGGGTTTCCATGGAATGGGCTTCTCACTCACAGCTTCACACACTGCCCTCTCAGGTGCCTACCGCCTGACCTCCCAGGCCTTCTTCTGAAATCTAGGAAGAAGCCTTCTTAACCTCAGAAATCCTGCATTCTGAATGCGCCAAAAACCAGCACTACATGGACGATACCAAGGGCTGCTGCCAGCTGGAGCACTAGCCAGGCTCTCTTCTCTCTTGGCTGCAGGGGTTGAGTGCCGGGATCGTTGAGCACTCTGACTGTGATCCTAAGGAGCAAATTCTCTATGCTGGCGCCATTCTGTAATCTGGTGTGGCCGCCGCCTCCATTCTGGAACATGGGGATCTGCGGCTCTCTCCTCCAAGCAAAGTCCCTCACCCTTGTGATTCTGAACCTGCCACCTCCCGTGATGCGCTCAGGACATCTTTTCTACTCTCCTGTTCCTCCTGGGCAGTGGAGATCTCTATCTTTGCGTTCCACAGTTTTATTGGAGCTTTCTTTCTGGCCAAACTCACAACGTTTTAGATCATTCTGCTGGGTTCTTTTCTTTTCATTCTCAACATAAATCTGACTAAGAGCCCCTAAAATAACCATGCCTCTGTCCCAATAGTTGACTGCTTTGAGATTTCCTTTGAAAGATTAGTCAGTCTGCCATGCTTAATCTCAGTCTTAGGCAAAGTGTCTGGACATGGGCAAAATTCAGACAAACTTTCTGCCAAGCCAAAGCACAAATGATCTGGAATCCAACAACCAATGCAGTCCTTCTTCCCAGCACAAACCTCCCCAGCCTGTTCTTTTTTTTTTTATTAGAACACAGTTTCTTTTTTTTTTTTTTAATTTTATTTATTTGTGTGTGTGTGTGTGTGTGTGTGTGTGGCCAGCTCAGCCCACCAGGGGGCAGGGCTGGCTGGCATGTGGTGCTGGGGATTGAACCACGGTCCCTGTGCTTTGCTTTAGCTTAGCTTGTTCTAAGTAGGTACTTTAGACCACTGAGCCATCTCACCAGCTCCTCCCCAGCCTGTTCTTTACAGGCCGATTTTCTATCAGTTCTCTGGTCTGAGCTCTGACCAGAATCTTCCCTCCAGAACAGCTGAAATTGTTCCAGCGTTTTGCTTGTAGGCGACATCTCCAAACGTTTCCTATTTCTTCCCATAAGCCATTCCCAAAATCTTGTAATCCACATCGTCAGGTGTAGCCACAGGAATGACCCCACTTCTTTGGTGCCAAATTGTGTATTAGGTACTCTTCTCTCCTTGCTGGGACAAATACCCCACACTCAAAATAAGGAAAGGAAAGGTTTCAGCCAGGGAAATGGCTCAGTAGAATAAGCGCTTACCTGGCAAGCACAGGGCTGGAGTTCAATCCCCGGTTCCCCCCCCCACTTAAAAAAAAAAAAAAAAGAAAGGTTTATTTAGTACACAGTTACTGGAGGTTTCAAGATACTGGGGGAGAGGCTGGAGCGCTGCGTGTCCAGGATGACCCTCTCCACATCTCTCAGAAAGCGCAGGCTAGCCAGTTTAATGGTTCATGCCTATCTGGCCCTGCCCCTGGGATTCCGCCCTGTTCCTCTGGCCCCGCCCCTCGGGCCCTGCCCCGGCCCCTCAGGCTCTGCACTGGTCCTCTGGCCCCGCCCTGGTCATCTGGCCCCGCCCTCAGGCTCCACCCAGGCCCTCAGGCTTCACCCCTCAGGCTCCGCCCTGGTCCTGTGGCCCCGCCCCTCAAGCCACTAGTTGCTCCTTCGGCAGCGTCTGCCACATAACTTCCATGAGGCTTTGAAGGGACAACTAGACATAAACCATAGCACTCTGGCTATGTATTCCAGGCTGGCCAGGAGTAGCTGTTATCAGAGTAACTGTTACCTAGGAGGCTGAGTCAGGAGCACTGCAAGTTCAAGGATGGCCTAGGCAACTTAGTGAGAGACCTTGTCTCAAAAGAAAAAATTAAAAGGGCTGGACCATAGCTCAGTAGTAGAGCATGTGCTTAGCGTGCCTAGAGCCACGGGTCCCATCTTTGGCAGAAAGAAAGAAGAAGGAAGAAAGAGAGGAAAACAGGAAGGAAGGAAGGAAGGGAGGGAGGGAGGGAGGGAGGAAGCAAGGAAGAGGAAGAAATGGGCAAAGCATTACGGTGCACGCACTGGGGAAGCTGAGGCAGGATAACTGCCATGAGTTCGAGGTCAGCCTGCGCTACATGGTGAGTCTAAGGTCAGCCTGGACTGCATAGTAAGCATGTCTCAAAAAAAGCAAAAACAAAAGAAAGAAAGAAACAAAAGAGAGAACGGGCGCAGAGACCTGACAGCTGAGGGGTGCGAACGGTGTGAACACCAGGAATAGGCTGCCGGGCTGGGAGCGCAGGTGCAAAGGCCCGCGGCACAGGCCCGGATCTCACACAGCAGGGAACAGGAGGGTGTGCTGGAATGCGCGAGAAGGCGAGGGAGGGGACAGCAGGGCGGAGACTGGGCCACTCCAGGCGCAGCGGACAGTGCACGGGAGCGGCTTGTTGTGACTCGGGTCCACTGGCGCCTGCGGCTGCTGGGCAGGGTCAGACCTTCTTACCCGGATTATTTGGAGTGACGCCGCCCTTCCTGCCTCCCACAAGGCTGAAATTTTTTCTTTGTGGTGCCTAGAATTAAACCACTATCTCACAGGCCCGGCAAGCGCTCTGGTACTGAGCCCCACCCCGGGCCTTTCAAGGTTATTTTGAGACAGCCTTGCTAGGTTGCCCAGGCTGCCCAAACCCTCGACCCTCCTGCCGCAGCCTCCTGCGTGGGCCAGAGGACAGAGGCAGAGCCCAGGTACAGCTCCGGACGGCCTCGGGCTTCCCTACACCCTTTTCCTAGACGTCGCCTTGCCCTGCAGGAAATAAAAGAACAGCTGCGCTTTGGCATAACTGCTTTATTTTTTCTTATGTTTTTTTGCGGAACCGGGGATTGAACTCAGACCCTTGCGTTTGCCAGGGAAGCGCTTATTCCACGGAGAAAAGGCCCCCTTTTCCCAACCGGACATCAAGCATCGCATATGCCGAGAACCTCACCGAGGAGAAGAGGGCCAGGGGCTGTCGGCATCGCGTCCCAGAGTGGCGGGGAGGGGACGCTAAGCAGCAGAATCGGCACTTCAAGACCCTGCAGAAATGGTCCTGGGAGAAGAAAGAGACACAGGCGGGGAGGAGAGAAATGAAGGAGGAGACAGAGGGAAGGCGGAAGGCGAAAAGAGAGAAAAGAATAGAAGGAGCGCCACGCCGCCAGCCGCCCGGGCGGGCGTTCCCACGGCACCGCGCACGCGCGCTCTGCGGCTGGGAGCTGCGCTACGGCGCACGCGCAGACGGCAGCTCCGGGCCTCTGCAGCGCCCCAGCTCGGAAGTACTTTTCCCACGGCCCCCTGGTAATTGCTGTCTGTAAACTCAGCAAAGAGCTGTTCCCCCCCCCACCCCGGCCCTGTGATCCCCGAGGACATCCACTCCGTTCCCAGTGACCATTTTCGCACATTATTTCCAGTCTTGGAGAGAACCCCCAAAGTAGGTCTCTGTTGCTACCTGAAGCTGAACTCTTGAAGACTTCCTTTTTGTTTTTTTTGCCAGCTCAGCCTGCCCTAGGGGGTGGGGCTAGCGCGGCATGTGGGGCTGGGGATGGAACCGTGGTCCATGCGGTTTGCGTAAACTTGCCCAAGCAGGCGCATTAGGCCAGTGAGCTATCTCGCCGGCCCAAGACTTCCATTTTTTTTGAGACAGGGTCTTGGGCTGTAGCCCAGGCAGGCCTTGAACTCACAGTGATCCTCCTGCCTCAGCCTCCCCAGTGCCGGGATGACAGGCGTGCACTGCCACACCTAGAAGTCATTTGGTTTCTTGGTGTACAAAAGTGTCTCCAGTATAGAGTTCTACAGTCAGCCCCTGGTACGGTTACGTGGAGTGGCCTAGAAATAAATGTGAACTTAAAGGAGGTGTTACTTCTCTGATACTCCCCAGAGTAGGGGGGAGTCATGAAGGCTGCAGGAAGCCACTTTGGCTACAAGAACTTGGGGAACTGATGACACCCCTGACATAGAATCGGGGAGCTGAGGACGCAAGCTGTCTCCTCCGGCCATCCGCACTGTTCTGGTCCCGTTCCGGGGTTCCAGTTGGTGTTGAGGGGCAGAAGTCCACCAGAAGTGGGTGAGGGTCCCCAGCAGCTAGGTTCCAGCTTTGAGGACCCCTTGACACGGATGCTAGCCTGTCGCCCACTGGCACCCCTCTGAGGCTGTGTCCACAAAGCGCAAGTGACAAAGCAAGCCGTGCAGCCCCTCAGAAGGGACTTCTCCACGTGCGCACATCACATCCCTGGGCCCACGGACGCCAGGGCGCTGGAAATACACAGGAGCTTCAACCTGGAGAAGCCAAAGTCTTCGCCCCAGGTCACAGGCAGCCCGCGTGGGGGCGCTCGCCCGGAATTCCAGCCACTCGGGAAGCTGAGGCGGGACGACTGCAAGCTTGAAGCCTGCCTGAAAACTTGGTAAGACCTTGTGTCAAAATTAGAGAGGAGCTGGGGATTCAGCTCAGGGGTAGGAGGACTAGCTTCGCCTGGGCCAGGCCGTGGGTTCCATCGCTGGCACCGCACACGGAAGGAAGGAAAGGAAAGAAGAAAGTTGTGGGGCAGCTCAGGCTGTGGGAATGTTGCTCAAGTTCCTGCTCTAGCAGGATGTGAGATTTGGAAAGACCTTGCTTAAAATACAATCAGCCAGATGGAGCCTGGGCAGGAGGACCTGGGCGTGGGAGGCTCCGAGGCTAACGCCTGGCAGAAAGGAAAACATGGGTTCAATCCCCGGCCTGCCCTGCCCCCCCCCCGGGGGGGGGACCTTGATACCGTGATTGAGACTGGGCTTGGTGGCATGCACCTGTAATCCCAGCTCTTGGGAGGCTGAACACAGGAGAATCACTGTGGGTCTGATGTACACTGGGAGACTCTGTATGAGAGAGAGAGAGAGAGAGAGAGAGAGAGAGAGAGAGAGAGAGAGAGAGAAAGACAGACACTAAGGTGTGGCCGAGTCCCAATTCCAGAATTCAACCCAGGACCAACCCAAACAGTTACAGGGCCCTGAGCACTATGGGTACCAGAGGGAAGCAGGGAGGCACTTTTGGAGTCTCTGCGGCCAGGGCCAGCTGGACTTTCTGTCCCTTCTTTCTGAGACAGGGTCTTGCTATGTAGTTCAGGCTGGTCTTGAACGCTCAGAAATCCTCCTGCCTCAGTTTCCTGAGTGCTGGAATGACAGGCGTACGCCACGCCAGCTCCCTATCCCTTCTGTAACAGGAAGATGGGCTTTAGTATTCAGTCTGCCAGCCAGAGGCAGGGGTCTGTGCGGCCCTGAATAGTGATATTATCTTAGAGCTTTGGCAGTTAGGAAGTTCACATGGAAGGCTCGAGGCTAAGGAGGGACACCTGAGACAGACGGGCTGCCTCCACCTCTCCAGGGAGAACTTGCACCATGACACCCTCCCCGGGCTCCTACACACCAGGCAATGCCCAGTGCAGAGTGACCCCTGAAAATGGTTCTGTCGTAAAAGGCACTGCCGAGGCTTCTTCCTCAGGCATGGTGGGATGTGCTGCCGATGGTCACCCTGCCAAAAAGCCTTGGAGAGCAGCAAGCCTGAACACAGTGACATCCCCAGGTTGCTGCCTGCAATGCTGAGCTGAGCCTCTGGGGTTGAGCATGGTGGTAACATGGAGAAGGAGTGAGCCATGCCGGGGAGGGGAGTAGTAGACAGGAGAGAAGAAGGGGCCCTGAGCTTGGGAAGAGCCCTTGTGGCTCATGTCTGGGTCACAGTCCCTGAGGAGGCAGGTGACAGTCGAGGGTCCCCCTAACAGCTACAGCTGCTGGGCTGGGGTGGCGCAGGGTCCCCCAGGACTGGGCCTTTCCCGTTGCTGCCAGGGCTGGCGCTGGGCTCCAAGGACTCATTCATCTTCTCGCAGATGATATCCACCAGGCGTTCAAACACCTGCTTCACGTTGATGTTCTCCTTGGCGCTGGCCTCAAAGAACTCGAACCCTGCAGGGAGACGGAGCAGGGATACACGTGAGGCCGCTGGGCCAGGACCTGGGTGGTGGCGTTCCTCGCACTTGGATTCCAAACCCAGTCTGGCCCTGTATATGCTGTGCAACCTTGGCTGAGCGCCTTAGCCTCTCTGAACTTCAGTCTGCTCATCTGTAAAATAGGAACAATGATGTTGCTGTGGGTGTGCCAATACAGATCTGCAGTGGCAGCCCTGGCCTGGAGAACCGTAAGAATCTCTGTCACAGGAAGTGGCTACAGGTGTCCACGTAGTGCTAGTCTGTAGCCAGGTGTGAAGGCACCAGCCTGGAGCTGCAGCTACTCAGGAGGCTGAAGCAGGAGAACTGCTAGAGCCCAGGCATTCCAGTTATGCTTGGGTGACAGAGCAAGAGCCCATCTCAAAAATAAAATATAACCAAAAAAAAAAAAAAGGAAAAGTGAAAAAGGATGATTGTAGATTTTAGCTCAAAGGTTAGCAAATTTTCTTCTTGAATGGCCAGATAATGAAGACTTACGACTCTGGCCCCTGTAGACTCTGTGGCCCCTATAGTCACTTTGGCTTCTGTCATCTCTGTGGCCCCTGTTGTCTCTGTTTTAGTTACAGAGCCCCCTAATGGCAGAAGTTGCCACAGGCAGCATGTAAGTGGGTTCATGCGTGGCTGTGTCCCTGGAAAATTTCATTAGAAGCATACAAACTTGGGAGGCTGAGGCAGGAGGATCACCACAAGTTTGAGGCCAGCCTCAATTACATAGAGAGACCCTGTCTCAAATTTAAAAACAAAACAAAAACTTCCTCCAGAATGGAGAAGTTGGCACACCCGGGAGTGTATTTCTAGACAGATCCTCAAAGGGCTGAGACGATTGTTGGACCTGAAACCTGAGGGTAGGAACGAGGTGTGGTGGTGGGCGACTGAGGTCCTGCAGCCCCGACTGCACACTGACCAAGATCATCAGCGAGTCTCCGACCGTCCTCGGTGGGCACAACCCGCTCATCCTCTAGATCGCACTTGTTCCCCACCAGGATGACCTGGGCGTTGTCCCAGGAGTAGGTCTTGATCTGTGTAGCCCTGTGGAGTTGAAGGTCATGAGCAGGGGGGTAGTGGGTTGAGGAGGGGGTGAAGGTCAAGGGTCAAGGGTCAGGGGTCAAAAAGACTCACCAGTCCTGCACTGCGGTGAAGGACTCCTGGTTGGCGATGTCATACATGAGCAGGAAGCCCATGGCTCCGCGGTAGTAGGCTGTGGTAATGGTCCGGTAGCGCTCCTGGCCCGCCGTGTCCTGCAAACAGCAGTTGTCAGGCAGCTAGAAGCTCTGCCGTGGCTGATCCAACCCCTCGGAGCCCTGGCCCAGAACAATGACACGGCACGCTGTCCTCAGCCCAGTCTGACAGAGGAGGCTCAGACCCATACTCCAAGGGCTCTCTAGCCTGGGGGCAGAGGCAGAGCCCTGGTGGGGGTAAGGGGGTGGTCCTGGTCTTGGGGGGCTGCATCCTCCTAGACTTACACACCCCTCTCTCCTCCTTGACTGTCACACACAAGAGCCACCTGGGCTACAGGGGCACCTGGGTAGGACCCCTCAGTGCCTCCTCACCACCTCCTCTTTCCTCAAGCAGGGAAGCAGGGCTAGGGGTGGAGTGTGGCTCCCAAGCCTCTCCCCCGGGGATCAAGCAGCGATACAGACAATACAAACACCTTCAGCTTCGGAGCCCACCCACCACCCTGAGCCCTGGCCAGCAGCCCTGCCCCACCCAGATCTGCAGCTTGATCCTCTTGTCATGGCGGTAGACCGTCTTGACTTTGAAGTCGATGCCCACGGTGCTGACGAAGGCGGGTGTGAAGGAGTCATCCGCGTAGCGGAAGAGGAAGGAAGTCTTCCCCACGCTGCTGTTGCCGATCAGCAGCAGCTTGAACATATAGTCGAAGTTCTGGTCGGCAGCATCCCGAGGGCCCGCAGTGGGGTCTCCTGCTAATGCCATCTGGGCAGGGGCCTTGGAGCTGGGGAAGACGGGAGCCCTGCAGGGTGAATCAAGCATGGCTAAGAGCCCCAGTGGATCCACCTGGCCTAGGTTCTATCCCAGCTTCGCTGGCTGGAGGCTGAGGAACCCCGGCTGCTGTCCTCGTTTTGGAAAAGGGGATATTTGTCATAATCCTGGCCTGAAAGAGCAAACAGTTGGGAGTTTGCTCACATGAGTTTCTTTAGTCACTCAACAAACACATACTGAGCGCAGCTCTGTGCCAGGCCCAGTTCACCACAGTGACATAGATACAAATAAGACAGGACAAAACCCGCCCTGGGGGCATTCATGAGCCTTCTAATGGGAGGATTTTAATTCACTTAATGGGCATAAAATAGTGCCAGACATATATTTAACACTCAATATATGCAATTCCTATTTAATCTTTACACAAAGGCGAAACTGATGTCTATTTTTGTCTTGACACTGGGTCTTGCTGTGCAGTGAAGGCTGGCCTTGAACTCACTATGTAACTCAGGCTGGCCTCAGACTCAGTGATCCCTTGCCTCAGCCCTGCAAGGCCTAGGATGACAACCATGCGCCACTGTCCAGCTTGGGGGCTCCTGTTCTGAAGCCCGGGCTCTGGCAAAGGGTTCAAATTTAGGGCCCTGGGTGGTGGCGGTGGGGGACAGGTGCCTCCATCGGCCACCAAGGAAGTCTGCAGAGCCCAGGTGGACTTTACCCCAGGGTGAGCAGCTGGCACAGCCCAGCATGAGCTGGCGCAGGGGGACCCTGCCAGCTTCGCAGAGCACCCCAGGCCTGGGTGTTGACTTTGGCAGGTGCCTGCCCTGCCCCCATCCCAGCTAGGTTTAACCCTTTTCTGAACCCCCAGGGCCAGGGAGTGGTTGGACACTGCCCAGGTTTAAAGCCCACCACGCTGTTCCCAAGTGAGGGTCCTCGGTTTGTTAGTTAAAGAGGCCCAGCCGAGCCCTTGGAACCGAGGAAGGGGCCACAACCATCCTTGCCACTTAACCCCCACCTGGATCACAGCTTCCTGCTCCCGGACTTCTCCAGGCATCTGTGCGGCTACCTTCACCCTCCTTCCCTATGAAGGCCTCAGTTTCCCCAGTGATCGCTACCTGGACAGCACAGGAAGGCCGCAGATGGCCTGCACAGACGCAAAGGAAGCCCAGGCAAAGCTATTTCTCAACCGCTTGTAAGGCTTTTCTTTCTTTCTTTTTTTTTTTTAACAAGGGCCAATGGGCCCCACCCGTGTTCCGGGAGAACAAGTTTGAGGAGGGGCAGCCATGACGCCCTCTGGGCAGGGCAACTAGGCTGGGGTCCCCGCCCCACCCCACGCTGCCACCTCTGCGGGTTGCCGGTGTCCCCTCTTCCTGTCTTTCCGCTGACCCTCTTCACACAGGCGACCGCGCCTGGTTCCCCGCGGGCTCGATCTCTCCCCTTCACTGTTTTGCGCGCCAGCCGGTGCAGGGGCGCTCAGACGCCTCCCCCATCACCATATGGTCCAGCGCGGAGACCCGGCTGGGCGCTCTGCCCGACACGCCCCACTCCCGCTATCTAAGGAGCCCAGCTGGGTGCGGCCGAGGAAGGGCGGCCGCACAGACCCCACCGTTCGCCCAGACCACCCTTCCGCACCCCGATTTCCTTCTCCGGCAACCCCCTCCCCAGTGGACGGACCTGCTGGAACGCGCAGGCGCGGAGCGAGGTGCGCTCCCGCCGACAGGTCACGCGGCGAAAGGGCGCTGCTCGCTGGGGATCCAGTTCCGAACCCGCTGCCTCGGCCGCGACCCCCAGCCCCGCAATCGACGCGGCCTTCTGCAGCCACCCGGATCCCGCGCGGGCTCCGCCCAGGCTGCGGGGCGGGGCCTCCATGGGGCGGGGCCTGTCGATAACTGGGGGCGGGGCGGGAAGCTGTCCCGACGCCCAGCGCCAACTCTCTTCTCGGTGCAAAAGCTTTTCCTAATTATAGGTAGAGAGCGCTTTCTCTCCTTCCCTCCTTTCCTTTCTCTTTTCTTTCTTTCATTGTTACCTTCTTTCCTTTGTTTCTTTTTTTGTGGTGCTTGGGAACTTCGGCCCCAGCGAGAGTTCCTGTTATTGTCTGTGCCCAGCAGTTGAGACCATGGATTCTAGTTTGGCAGTGGCAGTGCATGCCTGTAGTGCACTTTGGGAGGCTGAGGCAGGAGGATCGCCACACGTACAAGGCTGGCCTGAACTATACAGTGAGCCTATGTCTCATTAAAAAAAAAAAAGGCTCGATTCAAAATTTTTAAAAAGGGAGCCGGTTTTGAATCTTAGATCGATCTATCACTTTCTAGTCCTGTGATCTTGAACATATTACTTAGCGGCTGTAGGCCTCGATTTCATCTGTCTGAAAGCAACAGCGCCCCCTACTGCGCGAGACCCAGCTCCAAAGGGGGCTGAACACCATTGCTCAGTACACTTAGGGGATCTTAAATGAAAAGCTCCTTTCCCAGATGAGCGGACTAAGGCTCAGGGAGTGGCGTTCTTTGCCTGAAGGGACTCAGTAAGATATAGGGGTGGAGGTGGGAGTACAGGTGCAAGCCTGTGACCTCTACTTCCACACCCCGAAGTGGGGAAGTTGAGGCAGGAGGATCACTAGGAGATCAACGCCATCCTGGGCTACACAGTGAGTGCAAAGCCAGCCTGGGTTACATAGCAAAACAAAATGTTTAAAGGGACTGGGAATGTAGCTCAGCGTTAAGGCCCTGGGTTCAATCCACAGTACTGTAAAATAATAATAATAATAATAATAATAATAATAATAATTAATAATAATAAAGTTTGGCACCCAGGCCATGCTTAAGTGCCCACTTTTTCTTGAAGCTGGCAGGTGGGGGTCTGTACTCAGAACAGTCCGGGCTTTGCTGGTGTCTGGCTCCCAGCAGTGCCGCCTCGAGCAGCTTCTCTGCGGTCCTAGTGCCTCATGGGAGTAGCAGCAGCTGCCCCTGTGGGCTGCCGCGTGGATAACCTGAGCTGGAGCGCATGAGCGAGGAAGGGCCAGCGTGCTCAGTAACAGGCATCCTCCAAGGCCCTGTGGCATCCAGTAGCAAGGTGTGGCTTGCATGGATGGTTGCTTCGGTGAAGGGACTATGCAGAAAGCCCTGTTAGCTTTCAGGACCCTGGAAGAGGTAACACATAGGGCTTTGGGTCATCAGCCAAAAAAGAGGCACTGACAGTGGGGAAGGAGACGATTGTGCTTTAGGGCTGACAGCCAGTGTGGTTGCAGTAGCACATGGCGGGACCAGGTGTGGTGCACAGCTGGACTCCCAGCTATTTGGAAGCCTGCGGCAGGAGGACTCCGAGTCCAAGGCCAAGAGACTTAGTGATACCCTGTTTCAAATTTTTTAAAAAATAAGTTGAGTGTGCACACCACTGTAATCCCAGGACTCGGAAGCCTGAGGGAGGAGGGCCACAAGTTCAAGGCCAGCCTGTATTACACAGTGAGACCTTGTCCCAAAAGTAAAATAAAAATTAAAAAAAGTAAGTAAGGGCTGGAGTATAGCTAAATCGTACAGCACTGGCCAGCATGTATTAGGCCCCGCATTTAAACCCCAGTACCACAACAATGAAATAACAGAGCTGGGCATAATGTATGTCTGTAATCTCAGCACTCAGGAGGCTGAGGCAGGAGGCTCACCATGAGCTCAAAGCCAGCCTGAACGACACAGCAAGACCCTCTCTCTGAAAACCAGTAATAACAATGAGATAGGACCAGGGATACAGCTCAGTGGCACAGCACCTGCCTGGCAAGCGTGAGGTCATGAGTTTGATTCCTGGTAACAACAATAATATTGATGACAGAAAAGAGAGTAAGTACACAGTGTTCCCCACGTGGACACCAGGCCCGGCATGTAGAAGGTGCATGAATGAACACGATTCGAGAAGTTTCGGGCACCATTAGAGATGTTAACTTCGAATCATGATGCCACAGAAATGCCCCCCACTGAAGCACTCTGTATTGCCCTTGCGTGCCCGTGCGCAGCTGGCCCAGCTTCTCAGGCGGGAAAGACACGGGCAGCCATTTCCGAGGAAGCATTTATTGGCATGCAGCCCCACACTAGAGGCTCCGGAGACCCAGGGCCAGGTTGGCCAGGCAGAGTCCGTTGGTCAGGACGCAGCCTAGGTTGCATAGCGAGGAAAGGCCATGGTAGCGGAAGAAGTTCTGGCGGAGAGCACTGTACTTGGGGTCCTTGTCCCGCAGCTGGCGGTAGGGGTCAGGGCCCTGCAGGCTGCCCGGCACCTCCCCACCCAGGCCATGCTCCTTCTCCACACTCTGCAGAGCCCACATGGCAGCGGTGGTGCGAGGCTCCAGCCAGCGGGCGTTGACGGCAGCCAGCACAAGGCTCAGAAGCAGGAGGCAGCACTGCGGGGTGGCAGAGGGGAACTCAGGCTGGCCTTGAACTCACAATGGAGCCCAGGCTGGCCTCAAACTTGCAGAGATCCTCCTGCCTCAGCTTCCCAAGTGCTGGGATGACAGGCATGGGTTACCACACCTGGTTAGAGATTATTCCTGAAACACCTATCAGATCTCAATGCCCACATCTGAGGCATACAGGGGGCAGAGGAACAGCAAAGTAGGGAAATCTCAGTTACAGAGATGGTTTTGTGTCTTGTGGATAGGACAGGGAACTCTAAATTCCCAATCAGGCTGGTTTTTAAACAGTGAGCTGGGGTAAGCCCCAGCATAGCTGAGTCACTGCAGCCTGGCAGCAGGCCCGGCCACAGGAAGGAGAGGGACCAGCAGCCAATGAAGAGATATGAGGGATAAACAGGGCTACTGGGGATAGTTGCACAGGCTGTGTACTGCTCAAGAATATGCAGTGCCCAGCTTTGTCTCCATATGAAAAGAGACACTCCATTTTCTTTTTTTAATCACAAAGATTTCACCGCTGGTGCCCACTGGGGTCTTGGTAACAAGTCTCCAGGAGTGAGTGGCACTGTAGTTCACATACCTGGCTGGCCTCCCAGAACGTAAACTGAACCCAGGCGCGTTGGGAAGCTGCAGTGCAGAGGTTGATAAAGGCACAGCCCATGGAGATGTGGAAGTAGAAAGGGAAGAGTTTGCTTTGTACCAGGCCGAAGGTGTGCCGGGGAAGGTTTCGGAAAAGCAGGAAGCCTATGACACGGGGGACCACACAACTGTTAGGACACGTCCAGGCCCCCCTCCCATTTCTGTCCCCACCCTGGGTGGCCAGGCCAAAGGTCCCTACCTGAGGCGAAGGTCACCCACATCTGCATGCCCCAGGCACCCGACAGGAGCAGCAGATGGACCACCTTCACCAAGCCTCCCGGGTCTCCACTCTCGTCCATGCTGCGTCAAGCAAAGGGGCCAGGCGATCTCAGCTCTATCTTTGCCCTGCGAGGCCGCTCCGCCCAGGGACAGGGACAGGGTCACGATCGATCCAGCAGAGACCCAAGAAAAGCAGCCCAGGGCTGGGGGCGGGGGAGACATCCCCAGCCTCAACCCACCCAGCGTCAGCTCCCAAGATTTCGGGGCTCTGGAACTCCAAAATCCAAGCCACCTCTTAGACCCCTAAATTTCCGCCCCGACAGCTTGAGTCTGCAGCCTGAGTGATCTTCAGAGACTGCTTACATCAGTGATCCCCAAATATCGCCCCAGGGATCAAGTGCCAACACCCGAGGCCTCATTTATCACCAAAGGACCCACAAACCCCCCACAACTCCCTATAATCATGGGAAACCCCGAATCTCATCCTTAGGGCCCGGAGCCCAGCTGGGAACCCAGAAGTCAGTCTGGAACGCCCAGAGTCAATGACTAGAGGCACTCGGACCAGATCTCAAGCGGCAGAACGGCTGAGCGCTGTACCTCTCTCCCGCGCTGGTGAGTGGACCTTGAACCTCCGGGAGGCCTTTAGCCCTGGTCTTCCAGAACCAACAGCTGGTTCCCCTTGGAGGCCGGAACCAATCGGATAGACGTCTGCCACCTCTTGTCCCGCCTTCTTAGGTATTGACCAATAGGCTAGGAGAAACCTGACCGAAATCCCGCCTCTTCATCAAGGCTATATCCAATTAAACAGCCACTTCCAAGGCACTAAGGCCTTCAGCGGCCGACAAGGGGGCGGGGCTAAAATGTCGGCCACACCCCTCTCTGTGACCGCCTTAGGTCAGTCTCTGCGTGCTTTAATGCGATGGTGTCCCAGCGAGATCAAATTTCAGCGTCTCTGCTGGGGATTGGCTTCGCAGTCCCTCAGAGGAGAGTGTGAACAGGTGATATGTGGTAGGTGAGAGTGGAAAGGGATCGGAAACTTGGGGGTTGCAAGGTTCACGCGCCGGAGGCGGGGCTTAATATGATGACCCCGCCCCTTCAGAAAGAATTCTCCCGGGAGAGATGGCCGGAGAATCAATGACCAAGACCCAAGTGGGGTGGGGGTAGGGGGCGGGATACGGGGTGGGCGACCTGGCTTCAGTTGACTCCCCAAGACGCTTCTTCCTTTCCCTGCTCCAACCTTCTAAGCGTCCCCATGGTATTCAGGTCATCTGCATGACATTCAAGAACAAACACTGGCCGAGGCATGTGGTGCACACCTGTAATTCTAGCACTGGGGAGTCTGAGGCAGGGGGATAGCCGGGAGTTTGAGGCCATCCTGCGCTACATGAGAAGATCAAGACCTGCCTGAACCGCGAGACCCTATTTCAAAAACAAAACAAAACCTCAACTGCCCATTGCTCTGATGCCAGACACTAACATAGATTAATTAATCACAGTAGAAGAGTAACTTGAGGACTGGGGAGCTAGCTCAGCAGTCTAAGCACCTGCCTGGCAAAGCACAAGGACCGGGATTCAATCCCTGGTACTGTGTGCCATGCCAGCCCCAGAACCCTGGGCGTGCCTGGCCAGCTACTGAAACCGGGTGTGATGGTGCATACCTGTAATTCTAACGCTGAGGAGGCTGAGACAGGAGAATCACTATGAGTCCGAACTGCGTAGTGAGACCTTGTACCAAATAAATAAGTAAATACATAAATGATTAAAAAAAGAAAGAAAGAAAGAAAGAAAGAAAGAAAGAAAGAAGAGCAAGAAGGATTTCACAGAGAACTTGCTGGGTAGGATTTTGAAGGGGTGTATAAGAGTCTTCCAGGTAAACTGACCAAGAGGAAGGACAGCAGGCAGGGGACCTACCACCACCAACAGAAATGTCTAGAAGGTTTGGAGGGCCAGGTGAATGTGACCTAGTGCAAGGATCCCTTCGCCTAGAAGTTTTTCTGGCAGACCTACTCTGAGACAGGGTCTTGCTAAGTTGCCCAACCGGGGTTCAAACTTACAATCCTCCTGCCTCAGCCTCCCAGTACTCTGCAAGGGCCTCATTTCTTTCTGTGGCCTCTTCTGGGTCCTTCTCATTGGCCGGCTCACCCTGGGGGCCCGGTGTCATCCTTCACCCAGCCTCAACTCCTGCCACTACGGGGAACCTGAGACTCCAAGGTGGAGGGAGAATCTGGGCTTCTAGGACATGAGGGAGGGCTGGTCTCAAAGCAGCTCTGGTCCACCCTCTTTGCAGCGATCCCCTTTTGGCCGGCCTGCCCCGGGACCCTTACTGCTTGCTGCCCTGTCGCTCCTGCCCTCCCTCCACCACCACTGCATGCTCCACTCATAACAGGACATGTGACAAGTACTGGGGTTCGCTGCGGGGCTACCCTGGGGCTGGAGAGCAGGGAGGGGCTGGGATGCATGCCATGCTCTGGGCTCACCCCTAGGGTCTTCCTCAGACAAGGCTTTGGACTGCAAGACTCGCTGGTCCAGGACTCCAGAGCTGGAGACTGAGGCGGCCACCTATTCCAAGCGCAGTGTGAACAGCCGGGACCTGAAGCTGGAGCAGGGCGCCGAGCTGCAGGCTCATGAGGCTGCCCCCTTTGCTGACCTGGAACTACGGGAGGAGGCCTGTCAGGACCACGACCTCCTGAAGAGGGACTGCGACATTGCCAAGGTCACCCCTGCCTAGGAAACCCCTTCAATCCAGACAACCACTGCTGTCCATCAGTGAGGGGCTTAGGAAAGAGACAGCAAGGCGGGGCGACTGTCAACCAGTGTCACACTATGTCTTCAGTACCTAGAACAGCTCCCCTTGGGCTCTTCATTGTGGAGGGAAGGAATGGAGGAAACACGCAGTTGTGTGTCTTTTGTTTTGTTTTGAGACAGGGTCTCACTGTGTAGCCCAGGCTGGTCCTGAGCCTGCAGTGACCCTCCTGTCTCAGCCTCCTGGGTGCTGAGACATCACAGAGTAGGCACGAGAATCCCCCCAGCACTCAGGAAATATGAGTCTTAAAAAGAATTAAGTCGGAGCCGGGGAGGTGGCTCAGTAGATGAAGTGCTTGCCTGGCAAGTGCAAGGGTCTCAGTTCAATCCCCGGTTCTGCAAAAAAAAAAAAGAATTAAGTCCCAGGATATAGGAGACTGATCTGGACTATGTATTGAGTTAAAGGCCAATTCAAGGGCACACCCAGCTTCAGTGGGTCTCGTCCCTGATGGCCTCTGATTGTGGTGCAGCTTTGTGCAGGAGTGGCTGTGCTTATGTCTGAGGTGCATGTGGTCATATGGGTCAGTGTGCCTGGCTGTGTGCTCAAAGCTAAAGGTTCCATGTTCCGGACACCCTGGGTCCAGTGCCAATTAGCACCCACTGTGGACATGGTCGATATTGTTTGTCCCTGAAGCCAGAGATACGGCTGGCACCTCCCATGGGACCAAGCCATGGGCCCACACACCTGGGGTGTGTACAGTGGCGCACTTCTGAGCATGTGCAGGCTGTGTGAGGCTTGGGCTGCAAGAATGGACCCGGAAGCGGTTTTGACCCTGCTCATGGCTAGAGTCACATGGAACTCAGGAAGCTCAACTTTTGTCCCAAACTCTCCGATCCAGGGTGAGGTGGGCCATCGCAGGGGCAAATTTTCCCTCCCGTCTTGTCCTCCCTCCCTAGAAACGCTCGGAGACCAGCTGTCCCTCTGTCAAAGGTAGGGAGAGCCACGAGGCTTCATGGAGAGCTCCTGTTCCTACCTCCACCCCCACCCCAGCCTCCATGACCCCCATCACTGCCCACTTGTCCTTGCCCTGGCTTAGTGGCACATAGCCCCTGGGCCACCTCTGTGCTCTGCTGACCCTGCCCTGGGTCACCTGGCCCTCTGTCCTCAGCCAAGTCTGCCACGATGATTCCCGACTCCCAGAAGCTTCTGCAGTGTGAGCTGGAGTCACTCAAGAGCCAGCTCCAAGCCCAGACCAAGGTGAAGCACGGTACTCTGTCCCCAGGCCTGTGGCCGGCTCTGCCCGCTCCCTCCTTCCTCCCCAACCCAGGCCTGACCTCTCCCACCCAGGCCTTCGAGTTCCTGAACCACTCGGTGACCATGCTGGAGAAGGAGAGCTGCCTGCAGCAGATCAAGATCCAGCAGCTGGAAGGTGAGCATTGGCCATGGAAGGCAAGGTCCGGCTGGAAGGCGCCCTGTGGAGCAGGCCTGGGTTTCCGGTCAAGGGCAGACAGGGAGCTGATACTGCAGAGCTCATCTGTGCCAGGCCAGGCAAATGCTGGGGGAATCTGAGTTCTAGGTCAAGGTCAGGCCAAGGTTAGGGCAAGCTGAGTTCAAAGCCTCCTTAGGTAGGCAAGCTAAGGCAAGCTGGGGATGCACGCCTGTCATCCCAGCACTCAGGAGGCTGAGGCAGGAGGATCAGCGAGAGTTTGAGGCCAGCCTGGGCTACTACATAGGGGAGTCTGTCTCAAGAAAAATCACGAAAAGTTGCCCAGGATTCCCTCAGGGTACCCCTCTTCTCTGCAGAGGTGTTGAACCCCATGGGCCGCCAGGGGGAGAAGGACGGGTGCAAATGGGGCACAGAGCGAGGTCGGCAGGAGCTGTATGGGGCGCTGGCCCAAGGCCTTCGGGGACTGCAGAGGACCCTGCGCGAGAGCGAGGAGCTGCAGCGGTCGCGCACCACCCGCTGCCTGCAGCTGCTGGCCCAGGAGATCCGGGACAGGTGGGCGCGGCCTGAGGCCAAGGGGGGTTGGGCGCTCAGAGACCCCGGCAAGGGGCACTGTCGGGTGGGGGGGGCAGGGAAGGCATGGGGCAACAGGAAGGGGTGGGAGGTGGGGGGAGGGACAGGAGGCTGGGACAGACGGCGGGGAAGAACGGAGGCTGGGGGTGGGACGGGAAGAAGGCCAGGGGAGCAGGAGGCTGGGGGGTGCCCGGCTGGGGGAGGGGCGGGAGGGGCGCTGGAGGCTGGGGGAGGGGTGGGGACAGAGCCGGCGATGGGCGGTTGCACAGATGGGGACATGGGAGGCGGAGGAGGTTCGAGCATGGCAGGGGTGGTCTCACCAGCCTGTCCCCTCAGCAAGAAGTTCCTGTGGGAGGAGCTGGAGTTAGTGCGGGAGGAGGTGGCCTTCGTCTACCAGAAGCTCCGTGAGTGCCTGGGCCCACGACCCGCCCGCGGGGGCGGGGGGTTTTTCTGTCGCCCCTGTCCCCCTGAGCCCCATCCTCCCACAGAGGCGCAGGAGAACGAGATCGCAGAGAACCTCTCCAACATCCAGAAGGTGCAGAGGACACAGGTGAAGTGCCGCAAGGTGAGCGGCAAATTTGGGGTGATCGGATAAGGGGGACCCTGTGGAAGGTAGTGGGTGAGCGGCTCAGCCAGCCTCCACCATCAGACTGGAGACCAGGTTCAACTCCATCTCTGCCATTTATGGCTGTGTGACCATGGGTGGATCAGCGTGCCTCTCTGGGCTTCAGTGTGTTCCTCTGTGTAATGGGTATAGCAGTTACACTCGCTCCCTGCTTGATTGGGCAGCTTGCTCAACTTAGCGCTTGAATGTGGCCTGGTGTACAATAAGCGATAGCATGCAATGGTCACCATTTACCCTCCTCATTAATGTGGCGGATTTTTCTTCCTCCTGGGAACCTAGGTCCTGACAAAGATGAAGCAGCAGCAGGGATATGAGCCATCTTCCTGTCCTGAGGCTGAGGAGGCACTGTCAGGGAGCAGTGGCTGGAAGGATGACCTCCAGAAAGAGCTGAGTGACATATGGTGATGCCCAGCCCTCAGTCTGACCTCTGACCTCAGACGCCCATCTCATCTGCTCCTTTCCCACCCTTTCCATCTCCTCCCAGAATTTATCCCACCATGGCCCCCTGGCCTCAGCCCTGCTGCTGTCCCTACCCTGGGCAGTCAGGGTCCCCTGGGTGGCCCCATCTCTCCCTCTCCCTGCAGGTCTGCAGTCCATGGGCTGCAGAATTCCATTGATGGCCTCGCCATGTCCTCAGAAACCAAACGCAGGGCGCCTAGCCTCAGGGGTGAGAGACTGAATGTCAGAGTCACTTGTGGGGGCTTGGGGCCAGAGGCTCTGTTGGGGGGGTTCCAACTTTCTGGTCATATTAAGTAATGTTCTGGGGTTGCAATAAGAAGTACTGTAGGGGGGCTGGTGAGATGGCTCAGTGGTCTAAAGCACCTACTTAGAACAAGCTTAGCAAAGCACGGGGACCTCAGTTCAATCCCCCAGCACCACATGCCAGCCAGCCCCGCCCCCTGGTGGGTTGAGCTGGCCACACACACACACACACACACACACACATACACATACATAAATAAATAAAAATAAAATAACAAAAAGAAACACTAATTTAAAAAAAAAAAGTACTGTAGGAAAAGAAAAAAAAAGTATTATAGGTTTCACCCAGAGGTCTTTGAAAGTCGTATCCGGGGGCCTTTGGATTTATTTATTTATTTATTTATTTCATTTCATGTATTTGGTACAGGCTCTCACTACGCAGGTCAGACTCATAGTGATCCTCCTGTTTTCAGCCTCCCAGCGCTGGGATTACAGGTGTGCGCCACCATGCCCAGACTCAGTGTCCAGCTCAGCATAGCATGCCCTGGGGCGGGGCCTGTGCAACATGTGGGACCAGAGGTTCGAACCCTGATCCCTACACTTGCCAAAGCAGGTGCTTAGTTCCACTGGGCTATCTCGCCGGCCCTGGATCTTTTTAGAATGGATGTAGCTAGGTATGGTGGTGCAGGCCTTTAATTCCAACAATTGGGAGGCTGAGGCAGGAAAATCACTGTGAGTTCAAGGCCAGCCTGGGCAACACAGTGATTGAGTTCAAGGCTAGCCTGAACCTACAGGCTGGTGAAACCCTGTCTCAAAAAGAAAAAGAAAGAAAAAAGTCAACGGAGGTACATCAGGGTCATCATTTGGGGTCACCTTAGGTCATCTAGGGATATGTAGGGGTCAAGTTCACTGTGCTCTTTTCTTCAGTTTTATTTTTATTAGCATGTGTCTGCAATGCACAGCGATTGCACTCCTGTGTGGCACTGGCATATGCGTGTAACACATCTGAGTTCTTTTCTAATCCCGTTCTCCCCTCCCTCCACCTCTTAGTGTTCTTCCCCTTTGAGAAAGAGCTCTTGCTTCCTGATACCTGTCCTTTCTTGTGTTCGTTATATTTTGGGTTTCCTGTAGAAGAGAGAGCATGCAATCGTTACTCTTGCGTATCTGCTTCACTTCACCTCACATTATATGGTCACAAGGCCCATCTCTCTTCCTAGGAATGCCTTAAAGGTATCCTTCTTCGTGGCAGAGTGGTACTCCTCGGTGCGGGAATACCACACTCTGTCCGCTCATCTGTTGAGCGCACATAGGCCACTTCCAAGATCTAGCCAGTATGAATTATGCTATGAACGGGGGTGTGCATGGGCCACTGTGATACAGTGTCTTTAGCTTTTTCAGGAAAAGCCCTAGAGGAGGTTATAGCTGGATAATCTCAAGTGACCCTGGGCTACGTTCGGAGCTTACTAAGGGGGTCCCATTCAGAGTTCCTGCGTGAACGTCCAGAATCACACCTGTCTCTCCCACAGGCAACAGGGGACACCGATGCCTGAGCCCGGGGCTCCCTTCCTGGGACTCAGAACCCCACTGGGAGCCACCACCTTTCAGCAAGAGCAGATCCTTCCCTTCCGGTGGGGATCCTCCCCGCCCCTCGCTTCCCCTTCGCTCCTGGCGGGCCTCACTTGCTAGCTTGGGGCCCCCGGGGCCCCCAGGCCCTGAGCCACCTTCTCTCTCCACAGCTTGAGCAGTCGGGGACTGCTCATCCTGAAGACTCCTCCGGAGAGAAAATAAATTACTCAGATCTTCTTCACCCCTGCTCCTGCTCCTGCTGCTTCCTGCACTAGGAGGCCCCCGCCGCACCCCCAAGGGTCAGGCCATGGGCGGAGACCCCAGAGACTGGGTCAAGGGACCCCATGAGGCCAGGTTCAGTAATGACAAGGTCGAGTCAAGACAGGAGCGGCCAGACAGGCTTTTCCACACTGGTCAGTTTTCTGTCTGGTGAGGGGAGGGTGCCCTGGGGGATCCAATCCTCTGCTACAATACCCCCATAGGGAAACGCGGCCCAGAGAGGGAGGAGAGCAGGTGGTGCTGCGTCAAGCTCAGAAACCTCCCTCCCCAAGATTCCCCGAACCCTAGGGTCATCCCCCTCCTCTGCTCTCCGTTCGCACACAATCTATGCTAGCTCACCCCGCCTCCAAGAAACGGTCCCGCCCCTACATATTAATGAAGGCTGCAAGTCCCCGCCCTACTTTTTATGCAAATAAGGCGACCAGAGGCCCCGCCCCCGCCGCGGAGTCTGCGCGGCGCTGGCGGCCCGGAGGATCGTGTCCCCATCCCGGCGTCCGCCAGCTGGGCCACTCGTCCGTCCGTCCGTCCGTCCGTCGGTCCTCCCGCGCCAGGTCGTCTAGGCGGAGCGGATTCAGGCAGTGGCGGGGACGGCCGAGACGGGGGTCAGGGAGGGGATTGGGGCGCCCCCTCCCCATCCTGGGGGCTTCCTACCCTCGATCTGACAGTTCAGGTGGGGACATCGGTTCCAGCGATCGGGATTTTTCGGTACGGCGCGAGGAGGGGGAAGGGAGGCGGTGAGCTGGGGCTTCGGGTGGAGCTGGGGGAGGGGAGCCTGCGGAGGACCCTGTCCCTGGGGAGCCAAGCAACGATGGTGAGGGTGACTGTGGGTGGCTGTGGTTGTGTGGTTGTCATTCTGTGGTTGTGTAACTGTGGTCCTGTGGCTGTCATCTTTGGCTTCGGGTGTGTCCATGAGCCTATGGCTGTCTTCAGTGGCTGTAGTTGTGTAGCTGCTGGGGTGGTGTCAGTCTGCTTGTGTGTTTGGTTGTAACATTGTGGCTTCCTGTGGTTGGCCGTGTGACTCTTTCACCGTGTGGCTGGTGTGATGTGGTGTCAGGATGGTTGTGTGCATGTCGCTGGCATTGTGTTGCTGTGGTATGTTCATTGTGATGGTGCCTATTTCCGCGCAATGGCATGTGTGCCTTGCCTGTGTGTGTGTGTGTGTGTGAGAGACACTGCATGTATGTGCCCTTGTATAACCACGTGGCTGTGACTGTGGATGGTGCGTGTGTCTCTCATGACTGTCTTGGTGGATGAGAATGTGTGTGGCTGTCATTGATTGCCTGGTAGCTGGGGGTGTGACTCTGTGACCGGTTAGGCGACTCCCATTGTGTGAGGTGGCTGCTGCAACTCAGTTGTGTTGGCAGCCTTGAATCCGTGGCGGGGTGCTGGCTTGGGGCTGCGCTTTAGATAGGGCCCGTTTGACTGTGTTTGTGTGTGGGGGATGTGCTTAATATGTGTAGGTGTCTATGACAGGCCATGTGCACTGTGGTGTGTGTGTGTGTGTGTGATGACTGTTGTGGGTGTTGGGGATCTGTGTGAATGAGATCGGCCTGTCTTGTGCACCATGAGGCAGTACCCAATGCAAGATGCCTGGTCGTCATTGTGATGGATGCCATGTTGTGAGGTAAGTGTGTGTGTGTGTGTGTGTGTGTTGTGTGGTATCCGGTATGATGGCTGTAATTAGGCTGTAGACTGGCAGTCCCAGTATCGTTGGCTCTGGGCATCTGGGACCTTTGGTGACCCTCACCCTCCATGTCACGCTGCAGAGTAACCTGTGAATGGAGCCCCAGAGTGCCTGCCCTCACCTGCCTGGGCCTCAACTTCCCCCCTTGCACAATGGAGGTGACCATCGCTGCCCTGCTGGCTACCAGCAGTGGCTGTGAGTGTGGTGGTGGAGGCGGCCTGTAGGAAGCCCTAGGGTGCTTTCACAGGTGAGGCCCAAGGGACGGTGGGGCTAGGTGTGACTGTATTGCTCCTGAAGTGCTGGCCCTGAGAATGGCTGGGGGGTGGGACGAGCGGCTCAGGAGGAGGGGGAGGAGAGAGCAGAAAGTGGGAGGGGGCCTGGCTGTCAGCCCACGGCAGCAGACATGGAGCCTGAGAGGACCAAGGAGGCCGGGGTGGGGTGGGGGAGGGGTCTCCACACAGCTCCTGGGATCTTTTATAAAAGCTGAGGGGGAGGGGTCCTCCCCAAAGGGTCGGTGACAGTCTCCTCCTAGGCTAGGGAGGAAGGGGACCATCTCTGGCCCTGAGGAGGCTGGGCAGGTGGTGTCAGGATGGGCGGGGGTGGGGGGGCAGGCCCTGGGTTGCAGAGGTGTGACTGCAAGGCTCAGGCATCCCGTGGTCCACCTGGAGCACCCACCCCTCTTCATCTTCACAGGCCCAGCCATGGCGGGAGGGAGACCACACCTGAAAAGGAGCTTCTCCATAATCCCCTGCTTTGTCTTTGTGGAGGTGAGGGCCTCAGGACCTTTCCCTGAGGGGACACACCTGTCTTCCTGATTCTGCCCAGCCCGTCCTCTTCCTCACCTTGTCACTCTGCATGCATCCATTTTTCCACCTCACTCTTTCACCCTGGGATCTTCAATGCTGGTGCCCCCTTGCTGGAAAAGTGGCTTAGGTTCAGAAGTGTCCTTTGTCTCATCCATCCATACTGCAGGACTCTAAGCACTTGGGCCTCAGTTTTTTCATCCATAAAATGGGCACAACTTGAGTCCTGTGTCCTAGAGCTATATAAGGAAAGTAAAATGACTTCATGCAAGGAAGGGGCTTAGGACGCTGTACCCACAGGAGGGGTTGCACTTGCAGTGGCTGAGAGTACTTCCGTCACTTCTTATTAGCTGCCTTCCCCATTGTATGTCTGTCCTTATGTCTCTGTTCTTTCCCCGGGCCCCTATTATTCCCTTCCCTTCCCTTCTCTCCTGTCCTCTTTTTTCTGCCTTTCTTGCCCTTCTGTCTTCTATTTCTATCTCCAACTCTTCCAAGTCCTTCATTTTCCTTCCTACCGCTCTCCTCCCCTTTCTCCCTCCTCTTTGTCTTGGTCTCTGTCCAGTGTTTTGTTTTTTGAGACAGAGTCTCATAATGTAGTTCACACTAGCCTTAAATTCACTATGTCACCCAGGCTGGCCATGAACTCACAGCGACCCTCCTGCCTCAGCATCCTGAGTACTGACATGACAGGCGTGCATCCCCATGCCCAACTGACCTCTCCTGTCCAGGATCTGTCTCTCTCCCTCCGTCTCTGTGTCTCTGTCTCCTTGGCTTCCACACCTCTGACCTCTCTCCCTGTCTGCCTCTTCCTGCCCTGGCCGGGCACAGTCAGTCCTGCTGGGCATCGTGGTCCTGCTCGCTTACCGCCTGGAGTTCACGGACACCTTCCCAGTACACACGCAGGGCTTCTTCTGCTATGACAGCACCTATGCCAAGCCCTACCCAGGGCCCGAGGCCACCAGCCGAGCACCTCCCGCCCTCATCTATGCCCTGGTCACTGCTGGGCCCACCCTCACGGTGAGACACAGGGAGCCTCCCAGGAGGCAGGAAGGCTTGGTGGGGGCTGATGGTGACCCGAGTTTGCAGGCCAGGAAGTCCCCACCTTCGTGTCATCCACAGATCCTGCTGGGGGAGTTGGCGCGGGCCTTCTTTCCCACACCACCCTCATCCAGCCCCGTCCTTGGGGAGAGCACCATCATTTCGGGGGCCTGCTGCCGTTTCAGCCCCCCACTGCGGAGGCTGGTCCGCTTCCTGGGTGAGTAGGGAGGGACCTGGGGCTGGCTCTGTGGTCCTGGGAAGGGGGGAGGGGCAGAGGTGAAGGGCCCTGAGCCAGGTGGGAAGGAAGAAGTCCCAAAGTTGCTGTGGTGGGAGCTTCCGGGGACCAAGGGGGACTTGGGCTTAGGCCCAATGTAGTGGAGATTCCAGGGACATCAGTGGCATCCACCCCATGCATGATGAAGAGAGAAGAGAACCCCAAAATGGGCCCAGGGCACCCTCAAGTGGAAAAGGAGGGATATGTTGGTGAGCAAACATAATGGTGCCATGGGGCAAGCAGATGAGACTGGCAGTCACATTCAGTGGAGCCCTTGTCACAGTCACAGCATGGACAGCAAAGTTAATCCCCAGTGGTTATCCCGGGAAAGAGGGCTTCTGGTGACCCAGCTTGTGGCTCATGTGTAGCCTCAGGGAGACAGGGATCAACTCAGTAAGAACTGGTGCAGGAGTGAGTACCAGCAGGCCCAGAAATGTCATTAGGGGCTTCCCTAGAAGTCCCAGACATGGGCCTGGGCTTGTGGTGTTGGTTGGTGTGTGGGGGTCCCAGCTCAGCTACAGTGGGGTTCCAAAGGAAGTCCTGTTCCCTATAGGAGGTAACTCCAGAGGGACAGTGGCCAGATGTACCAAAGTGAGGGCTCCAGGGGGTGCAAGTGTCATCATAGTGGTGTGTCATCAAAGAAAGTGTCATCAAAGAAAAGAGACACCACAGGCCAGTGACAGAGTGGCTTCGAGTGTGCTTTCATGGTGGTCAAGGAAACAAGTGGCCCGATGGAGCCATTAGGTTTTCAGGAGGAGGGCTAGAGGGGCATCAGGGTACTCCGAGTAACCCCTTCTGCCCCTCTCCACCAGGAGTGTACGCCTTTGGCCTGTTCACCACGACCATCTTTGCCAACGCGGGGCAGGTGGTGACTGGCAACCCTACGCCGCACTTCTTGTCCGTGTGCCGTCCCAACTACACGGCCCTGGGCTGCCCCCCGCCCTCTCCTGACCGGCCAGGGTCTGACCGCTTTGTCACCGACCAGGGAGCCTGTGCAGGGAGCCCCAGCCTGGTGGCCGCAGCACGCCGCGCCTTCCCCTGCAAGGATGCGGCCCTCTGCGCCTATGCGGTCACCTACACGGCGGTGAGCACCCTGCAGGACGGTGGGGTCCTTCCCGGCCTCCGTGAAACCAGCCCTGTGCTGTCCCAGCCCTGGGGTGGAGCTTACCTTGTGGGGGCTCTAACCCGCCCCTGATTCGACCCACCTGTTGCTGTGTCCAATGATCTCGCCTCTTGGCGACTAACCACGCCCCTTTCTTCAGTAACGCCTCGCCCAAGAGATTTGACTCCACCCCACGGGGGCTCCAGGTCCTCAGTAGGGACTGAATGGCTGGGGAGGTGGGTTTGACTCCGCCTCCTGGATCCGTCTGGTCCCTGACTTTTTTTTTTTTTTTTTTTCCGGAACCGGGGATTGAACTTGCGCTTGCCAGGGAAGAGCTTATTCCACTGAACCATCTCCCTAGCCCCTAGGTCCCTGACTCTTGACAGGACTACTCCCTGCCCTGCTTTTGCTTTGACTCCTTTTTCTGGCCTCTAACGTTTCTAACCCTGCCAGTGATCCCATGGGATTGAGGAAGCCACCTTTTGGGGCTCCTGGGCCTGCCCCTTTGGCCCTGACTCCTCCCCTGGTTCTGTGACCATGCCCTAACTCAAGAAGCATCTTTCCTCCTCTGTGATTCCATCTTGGGGAGCACAGACGCCGCAGATCCTGACCCCCCTGCAAGAGCCCCTACCCCGTCCTTACAGCCCCAGGTTCTGGCTACGCCTGCAAACAGAAAGGCAGGGTCCCCTCAGGGTTGGCGTCCCCAGCTCTGCCTGTCCCTAACTATGTGTGGCCCCCGCAGATGTACGTAACCCTGGTGTTCCGCGTGAAGGGCTCCCGCCTGGTTAAGCCCTCCCTCTGCCTGGCTCTGCTGTGCCCCGCATTCCTAGTGGGCGTGGTGCGTGTGGCCGAGTACCGCAACCACTGGTCCGATGTGCTGGCTGGCTTCCTGACTGGGGCGGCCATCGCCACCTTTCTGGTGAGTCCCTGCCCACCCAAACATGGGAGACCGCCCCACCCGTGTCCCTCTTAGCCCAAGGCAGGCCTTCCTCATGGTGGGTAGTGTAGACTCTGTGGGCCCAGCAAGGTCATGAAATGGAATAATACTAGCACCAAGGTCAGGCTGAGGCGCTCCTCCAATGTCAGATTTAAAGAGGTGAGTGCCCAATCACTCAGCAATCAAGATTAAATATTGTTTTAATGACTTTTTTATAAGCAGAATATATTTACTGGAGGAAAGAAAGCTCCTGTCCTAGAGAGGAATGGGGGTGGGGGGTTGGGGGCGAGCGGGTTGTCCCTGTTTTATTTTTATGTATTTGGTACAGGATCTCACTATGGAGCTCAGACTCGTAGTGATACTGTTCTAAGTTACACAGTGAGTTCTGTTAGGGGTTGCTCAGAATAGGAACCAGATCAGCCAGATTGGAATTTGGAAAGCCATTTATTACTGAGCTCAGGGCCCCTGGGTCAGCTTTCACGCAGGAGAGGACAAAAGGCAGCTAGCCCAGGAAGCAGGGGTTTTTTAAAACCTGGAACCACATTCAGTTTGGTAAAACAAATTCATTGTCTAACAAAACAATGGTTTCAGGATCATCCTGACCACTACTCAAATTAAATTTCCTGGGGCTGTCTTTAGTTTCTGGTTATCTTGCCCCTGAGTACTTGCATGCAGCCTTGCATAGCCTGCACTTACAAGAAATTAAAGACCATTTAGCTGGGGAGAATGCTCAGTAGAATAAGTGCTTGCCTGGCAAGCGCAAAGGTCTGAGTTCAAATCCCTGGTTTCGCAAAAACAAGCCCATTTAATTTCCTTTTGAAGTCATCTCTGTAAGCTAAGTTTATTAACAGGAATTGGTGAGGTAGGAATTTTATCTAGCAAACAGCAAGAAACAGCCACTAGTTACTAAACAACTTAGAACAATAGTGAGTATACATTTTTACATTACACTCTGGCAAGCTCAAGGGCCTGAGTTCAATCCCTGGTTCTGAAAAAAAAAAAAAAAAAAGAATAACATTTTTACACAACAGCAAACACAAGATTTACATTTACAGTCTAAAATGTGAGTTGACCCATTACAAGTTCAAAGCTGGCCTGAATTACATAGTGAGAGACTGTCTCAAAAAAATAACTGGGGCCAGGGAGATGGCTCAGTGGAATAAGCGCTTCCCTGGCAAGTGCAAGGGCCTGAGTTCAATCCCCAGTTCCGCAAAAAAAAAAAAAAAAAAAAAAAAGGGAAAAAAAAAAAAAAAATTTGGGGTTTTTTTTTTTTTTTTTTTTTTTGCAGAACCGGGGATTGAACTCAGGCCCTTGTGCTTTCCAGGGAAGCGCTTATGCTACTGAGTTATCTCCCCCGCCCTCCAAAAAATAACTTTGCCTGAAGAAAATTTTAAAAATCTATGGAGAGGATTAGGGTTGTAAATCAGCAGCATAGCACCTGCCTCACAAGTGCAAGGTCCTAAATTTGATTTCTGGTTCCAAAAATAAATAAAAATTCATGGTGGGTTTGGTGGAGTGTGTCTGTAAACCCAACAAGTTCAAGGCCAGCCTGGACAACTTAATGAGAACCCCTAAGTTTTTTTTTTTTGGGGGGGTGGCATCTTTTTGAGACAGGGTTTCACTGTGTACTTCAGGCTGGCCTTGAACTCACTTTGTAGCGCAGGCTGGTCTTGAACTCACAACCCTACTGCTTTAGTCTCCTGAGTGCTGGGATTACAAGAGTGTGCCACCATGTCAGCTTGGTTTTGTTTTTGAGGACAAGGTTTTGCTTTGTAGTTCAGGCTTTCGCTAAACTCTTTATGTAGTCTAGATGGTGTCAAACTCACAGTGATCCTCCTGCCTCAGCCTCTCCAGTGTTGGGATTAGAGGTGTACAACAGCATGCCCAGCTTCCTATCCCAAATTTTAAACAATAAAAAGGACTGGTGATGTGGTTTAGTGTTCCTTGGGTTCAAACTCCATGTGGGACGGAGCTCAAAGTTCATGCAATGCATTTACAATGTGTGAAATATCAAAATTTTTGTTGTTATTTTTAAGAGTCTCATTACATAGTCCAGACTGGCCTTAAACTCAGCCTCAAATTTTGGTGATCCTCCTGCCTCAGCTTCCTGAATGCTAGGATGATAGGCATGTGCTACCATGCTCTGCTGAAATAGCATTTATTTATTTTTTTGGTACCAGAGATCAAATTCAGGACCTTATGTTTGCCAGACAGGTGTTTATGCCAGTGAGTTATTTCCCTGGTGCCAAAGTATCATTTAAATGAAGCTAAACCTGGCATGGTAGTACACACCTGTCATCCCAACACTGGAGCTGAGGCAGGAAGATCTCTGTGGGTTTAAGACCAGCTTAAACTACATAGGAAATCCCTGTAAAAAAAAACAAAAACAAACAAACAACAACAACAAAAAACCTCTCGAAAAGGGGCTGGCCTGATAGCTCAGCAGACAGCCCCTGCTTAGGCAGAGTGCAGTGTCCAGGTTTGATCCCCTGCATGCCGTGCCAGCCCCGCCCCCAGGACCCACTGAGACATTGAGACTGGCCATGGTGTTGTGCACCTGTAATCCCAGTGCTTGGGAGGCTGAAAACAGGAGAATCACTACAAGTTGGATCTACAGAGTGAGACTGTAGACCCTGTCCTAAAGTCATAAAAAATAAAATAAAAAATAAAAATAATAAAAATTCCCCCCAAAAGCAAAATAAATGAATTTGAGTTGTAATTAAACAGTAAATTGAGGGGCTGGGAAGACGGCTCAGTGGAATAAGCGCTTCCCTGGCAAGCACAAGGGCTTGAGTTCAATCCCTGGTTCCGCAAAAATAAATAAATTAATAATAATAATAAATTGAAGGTGGGGTATATAGTTCAGTGGCATGAGCGCCTGACTGGCAGGTGCAAGGTCCTGAGTTTGATCCCCTGTACAAAAAAAGAAAAGTAAAGTGTTTTGTATGCCGTGAAGCCCTGAGACTCCACAAAAACTTAAAAGAAAACAAAACCTTAAATGAACACCTGACCTTGCAGGACTCAGCCTTACTAATGCTAGCCCTGAGGGGTAAATAATAACACTCCCTGCTTTTTAGGTGGAAAGAGTGGTCTTTGACCCCTACTTAGTAAGTGGCCATAAAAACGTGGCCTCTTTTTGAAAACCAGAGCTTCAGTGTCTTTATCTAAAAAATGGGCATGATGTTTATGTCACTCCTGTGTTTCTGGTCATGGGCCTCAACACACTGCTCTCCCTCTGTCCAAGGTCACGTGTGTGGTGCACAATTTCCAGAGCCGGCCCCCCTCTGGCCGAAGGCTCTCCCCCTGGGAGGACATGGGCCCGGCGCCCACCATGGAGAGCCCCCTCGAAAAGTTAAGTGTGCCCCAGGTAAGGGGGCTGGAGGGGTGGTGGGTGGAGGGGGCCCAAGAGGCAGGAAGTCAGGCAGGACCCGGGGATGTCGGGGCCTCAGGAGGTGGGGAGTGCCTGTGTGTGGACCAGGTCCTAGACAGGAACAGGCCGGAAGAGTGTGTCCTCCCTCCCATCCCTCCTGTCCCAGAGGGATAGCACTTAGCCCAGAAACTCTGCTTTGTCTTTTGCACGGGGCTTTCGTCGGGATGAGCCTCGCTTACCTGGGAAGGCGGGGTCCGGGGGTCCTCTAGCCCCTTCCCTCTGCCTCTCTGTCTCAGGAACCCGAGGCCTGCAGGCCGCATTCGACACCGGCACGGCTCACCCCATCCAGTGAGTGGTGGGGACTGGGGGGATAACCGGGGGGACTTTCCTGTGGGCAGTCGCCGGCAAGGGCGGCCTCCCCGCGCTTCCGCGGCCGCCCGCCCTGTGCTCTGATCGCCCGCTGTGACTCCTGACCCCCAGAGCCGCAGAACTGCGCCCGCCGTGGCCACCTGATGCCCAGCTGCGTGTCCTCCAGGGCCCCGGCCATGTGTTCGTCGCCCCGTGTGCCCCGCCCTCGGTTGAGGTCTGAGCCGACGCCCCTGCCCCTGCCCCTGCCCCTGCCCGCGCCCACCCCCAGCCAGGGCCCCTCGCCCTCCTCCCCTGGGCCTGGGGGTCCGGGGGGCGGCGGCGGGCGTGGCCGGAAGCTGCTGCTGCCCACGCCCCTGCTGCGGGACCTGTACACCCTCAGCGGACTCTATCCCTCCCCCTTCCACCGGGACAACTTCAGCCCTTACCTGTTCGCCAGCCGCGACCACCTGCTGTGAGACCCCCACCCACCCGGAATCGGCCCTTGTCCCCGTTACTCCCCTGCCGCGCGCGCGTGTGCCATGTGAGTGCCAAAGCCCCCTGCCCCTAAACCTGCCAGGTCCGGACAGCAGGAGGTGGCTGGAAGGACGGCTGCGAGAACCGCAGAGCCGCGCCCTCCGGGACCTTCAGGGCTAGAACTGCAGGTGGGACCGTGCCCCTGGGATTGGCCTTTTAAGGGCTACAACTTGACCCTATTGGGCAATGCCCAGCCAGTGAGAGTCTCCAGTTCCCAGAATTCTCCCTCAAAAGGAGTTTATTCCAACCAACCGGAGCCTCCCTCTCACTTCTTGGCGTCTTCAGGCAATTGGGCAACTCGAGCCAGTGTTCGGTGTCTGACCCGCAAATAGGAGGTCTGGCTTTCGGAAAGTCTAGAATGGGTGGGTATGATTCCAGTCAATGGGGGACCGCCCGAATCTAGGCACGTGCGCACACAGGGGAACGGGGAGGGGTCGCCCTTTGTCACCAGGTCCTCACTCAGACTCTCCGAGTCCAGTTAGGGGCTGGAAGAAGGCTCCCCAATAGCAAGGTCCTAGGGGTACCCATTCCCTTCCACCGTGTACTCACATCCAGTCCCTCCCAATTCCCTACCTAAACAGGGCTTGCCCCAGTTGAGGTTTTGGGGTTCAGGGTGCTGTGTCTTCACTTGCCTGTGCCCAGGGCACTCCCCCAAACCCCTCCTTTTACTTAATAGGGCTGCGGGGAAGGACTTTTTTTTTCTTGAAACCTGTCCCTCTTCACCTTGCCCACCTGCCCGGGCCTTACTCAGATGTGCCATCTTGGGGGTCAGAGGGGGCTCCCTCCCCTAAGCAGCCAAAGGCAGTGGGCAGAGGAGACACTGTCCCCCTTTCTGCCCACTCCTCAAGTTTAATAAAGACCTGGCTACTCCTCTTTAATAAAAACCTGTTTGTAGCAGAAGGCTGACCGATTGCCTGCCTCCTGTGGGCGTGGGCAGGGCGTGGGTAGGGACTGCAGCCTTGGCTCTCCGTGCTGCGGGTGCGCTGGCGCCGTCTGTGTGAGGACAGCTATGGAGAGGCGTCGTGGGGCCACGGGAGCCAGATTGGGGTCAGAATCCCGCCCCGCTTCTCTTGGTTGGGGGCCTCAGGAAGGTCAACCTCTCTGAGCTCCTGTTTCTTCTGGCATAAGAATCCCCTAAGACACCCAATCCACAGTGACAGACCTCACGGATCTGTGTTTCCAAAGAAGCTGGTCTGTTGGTGACAACAGCTAGTGTTCAGAGGGCAGAAGGGACAGACTGAGGAGACCCGACATGCAGGGGGTACTAAGGCACTAGAGAGCCCCACCCTGAATGCCTGGCTGCGGGAGTGAGAATAGAGGAGCGGTTGTGGGCTCGGCCCAGATCCTAGCTGCTGAGGACTCCGCAGGGGCTGGGGAGGGTTGAGGGGCAGGGAACTACAGACACTGAGGGCCGGAGGGGCCTCACACGGACCCTTTGGGGCCCAGAGTCACCTAGGAACCAGAAAGGGGGAATGTGCTGCTCTCCCCCACCTTGCCTACCATTTCTCAGGTTGTCTTGTCCCTTTCTGGCTGTGCATAGCAGAATTCCACAGCTTCGGTGGTTCACACCCAATGAAGCTTCTTGCAGGTTGGGAGGCTGGGAAGCCCACCATCAGGACAGTAGCAGACTCAGCGTCTGGCGGGGACACATTCCTGGTGGACAGCCTTCTCGGCAGAAGAGTGGAGGAGCTGGGGGGGGGGCTCTTATATGGTCATTAATCGAATTCTAAAGGGCTCCACCCTCATGACCACCTCATCACCTACCAGAGACCCACCTCTCAGTACCATCGCCTGTGAGATTAAATCTCAGGAGATACATTTTGTAGAGGGTGGGAAACAAATACTCACTCCTCAGCACAGAGGCCATAGCCGTGACCAGACACAAATTCCTGCCCACATTTGTTTAATTTTTTTCTTTTTCTTTTTTCTTTTTTTGACAGAACCGGGGGGGGGGGGGTTATATTTTTTTCAATAAAACTTTATTTTCATTTTTTAAAATTATTTATTTATTTGGTACAGCGTCTCACTACAGCCTAGGACTGACTCATAGTGATCCTCCTGTCTCAGCCTCCCCAGCGCTGGGATTACAATTGTGTACCACCACGCCCAGGGCCAGCACAGCATGTGGTACTGGGGATCAAACTCAGGTCCTTGTGCTTGCCAGACGGGTACTTAGTCCGCAGAGCTATCTCCCCAGAGATAGCTTTGGTTTTGACTATGCTACACAGTAGTTGATCAACCCCTACCATACTGTAGTTCTGTGGGTGTTTTTCTCATTTTTGTTTTTTGTATTTTTAGGGAAGGGTCTACAGGGTGTTCAGGGTCTCACTACTAGATCGGACTCAGTGATTCTCTTGTTTACAGCCTCCCAAGTGCTGGGATTACAGGCATGCACCTGTAATCAATGACTGTCTCAGGGGCCGGGGAGATGGCTCAGTAGAATAAGCACTTGCCTGGCAAGTGCAAGGGCCTGAGTTCAATCCCCAGTTCTGCAAAAACAACAACAAAAAAAGGCCGTCTCAGTGCACCCGGAGGCAGGCCCAGGGAATACCTGGGCCTGCCTGCAGGAACTTTAATCTACTGAGCTATTTGGCCAGCCCCATACTGTAGTTTTTAATTGCTACCTTCTAGATCTCCCTAATGCTCTCATCCTTCCTAGGGAATTGTGCCCCTGCATAATATATCTTGGTTCTTTTAGCCCTTCCTCTTCCCACCCATCATCCCCTCCTAATCTACAAAAGTTTTATCTCCACTTTTTGCTTCCACTTCTTTTTCTTGCCCCTTCCCTTCCCTTATCCCTAACTCCCCTTCCCATTTGAATGTTTTCTTATTTCTCAATACCTGTTTCCTATTTTGGTCCTTAGGTACACTTCCACTTTCTCACACCAGAGAAATACTGTGGTATGTACACGTGTGTGTATGATTTATTTTACTTAAGAAGATGGTCTTGGGCCTGGGGAGGTAGCTCAGTAGAATAAGCGCTTGCCTGGCAAGTGCAAGGACCTGAGTTCAATCCCTGGTTCCACCAAAAATAAATAAAAAAAAAAAAATAAGAATATGGTCTTGGGGCCGGGGAGGTAGCTCAGTAGAATAAGCGCTTCCCTGGCAAGCGAAAGGGCCTGAGTTCAATCCCCAGTTTTGCAAAAAAAAAAAAAAAAGAATATGGTCTCAAGTTGGATCTACTTAGCTAGAAATGTCTTAAGCTTCCTTATGGCAGAATAGTACTCCATTTTATGTTTAAAAAATACACAGATTTATCTGTTCATCAGTTGGTGGGCATCTGGGTTTCCAAGATCTGCCTGTCACAAACTGTGCTGCTATAAACATGGTGCACATATATCGCTGTGGTACAGTGTTTTTAATTCTTTGTTTTTGGTCTTTTTTGATTTTACTGTATTTTTTTTTGGTTGAATTGTTTTTAGGGGAGGTTTATTTTTTGTTTTTGGTGCCAAGGACTGAACCCAGGGCTTCCAGCTTGCTAGGCAAGCATTCTACCACTGAGCCAAATCCCCAGCCCCCAGTGTTTTTAATTCTTTTGGAAAGATCGGAAGAGCACACGTCTGAACTCCAGTCACGCCGCAACATCTCGTATGCCAAAAAAAAAAAAAAAAAAAAAAAAAAGGAAATATCTAGATTAAAGGGACCTGCTAATTTCAGTTTTCTGAGGCCTCTGCACACGGATTTCCCCAGGGGTTGTGCCTGTCTACACTCCCACCAACACAGGAGAAGGGTTCTCAGGTGGAATCTCAGCAATAATTTGGATCTTTCAAATGACCAGTAATATTGAGCATTTTTTCATATATTTATTTCCTGATTGTGCTTCACCTGAGAAGTGTCTGTTCATTGCAGGAGCCCATTTTTGGATTTTTTTTAAATTTAATTTTATTTTTTTGGTGGTACCAGGGATCGAATTCAGGCCCTTGCACTTGCCAGGCAAGCACTTATTCCACTGAGTTATCTTCCCTGGGACCCTCCCAGGATTGGGTTTTGAACAAGGGGGACATCTGGGCTTTTTGAGTTCTTTATATATTCTAGATATTAGTCCTTCGTCTGAAGAACAGCTGGCAAATCTTTTTCCCACACGGGGGGTTGTCTCTTCACTCTGTTGGTGATTTCTTCAGCTGGGCAAAAGCTTCTTCAGTAAGAGGAGACCCAGCTGCTGGGTCTTCGTGACAGCTTCTGTGCAGTCTGGGTTTTGTTCATAAAACCCTGTCCTCAACAGTTCTAACTATTCTACTTCCCAACAAAGTGACTGTTTCTGTTTTGATATTTAGGTCTTTGATTTTCTCTCTCTCTCTCTCTCTCTCTCTCTCTCTCTCTCTCTCTCTCT